GTTTCTTTGAAAAATTGCCTACAGTTCTTCTCAATGATAAATTTGAATGAGGCAAGAACAACAAATGCGTACCAGAAGGATAATCTGAGCTTATTTTCTTTTTCTTATTTCTAGGCTGGCTACATACAATCGGAACAATACAACTGAAATATAAATTACATTAACGATTTTGAGCATGCCCATTCCACGATGATGACAGTAACCAAGAGAGACAGAGAGTGGGAGTAACATTAGTCAGGAATAATGTAAGTTGTTGTTAAGTAATTAAGAGTGAAGAGAACTGGGTAGACTATTTATCGGCAATGATTAGACGACTGTGGTTTGAAACAAAAGGACAAAGAGTTCAACAGGTTTTTGTAGATAAACTGTTATTACTATTATTATTCCCTTGAGTTCTTAGTGGAACATAGTTCTTTAACAATACATCTCCACTTTGTTCCATATTCTGCTGTTCTCTTCAGCTGGGTCCACAATTGCCCATAATTTCTCATCTCACCGCACGATCTCCTCCATGTCACACTCGCTTCGACGACCCACACCTCATTTCCCATTGGGATTTCATTCGAGCGACGTCCTGGCGCGCGATGTCATTCGATGGTCTCCTCAACGTTTGCCCGATTCATCTCCATTTTCTCACAACTTACGTTATTCCTGACTAATGTTACTCCCTCTCTCTCTGCCTGTATCTCTTGGTTCCTGTCATCAATTACTCCTTGTCATCATCGTGGAATGGGTATGCTCAAAATCTTTAATGTAATTTTTACTTCAGTTGCATTGTTCAGATTTGTATGTAACCAGCTTTGCGTAGAAACCTCAAAATAATGATAAACAAACATTATTATTATTTATTATTGTTCCCTTGGGTTCTTAGCATCAACTACACCTCTCCACTTGCTTCTGTCTTCTGATGTACTTTTCACATGCGTCCATGTTAATCCATACTGTTTCAATTCCTCTTCACACGATCTCCTCCATGTCACCCTTGGACGTCCCACTCGCCGCTTCCTTTTCGGGTTCCACTCCAGCATTGGCCTGACGCGCGATGTCACCCAGCGGCCTCCTCAGCGACTGTCCAATCCATCTCCACTTTCTCCTGCATATTTTTTGGGCGATTGGTTCCTGTTTTGTTTGTTCCCATAGCTTCTTGTTGGTGATTCTTTCCGGCCATCTAATCTTTAGTATAGAGCGAAGACAGTTGTTGATAAAGGTCTGAAACAGGCTGTTGGAAATATTCTTTGTAACCCGCCAAGTTTCTGATCCGTATAGCAAAACTGATTTGACGTTTGTATTGAAAATCCGAATTTTGTTGTTGATGCTGAGGAGTGACGAAGATTTCCAGATTGGTTTCAGGTTGATGAATGTGTTTCTCGCCTTCCTGATTCATGATTTGACATCCTCGTCCATTCCATCTGTAGGTGAGACAATGCTCCGTAGATATGTGAATGAAGCAAACTCTTTCAAATCCCTCCCGTTGATGGTGATTGGGGCTGGATGTTGCTGCTGTTGTTGTTGTTGGCGGTGGGTTATTTTCATAACCTCCGTCTTGTCTATGTTCACCTGGAGTCCTGTCTTTGCTGCTTCTGAGCTCATGAGCTCATATTATCCTTCTGGTACACATTTGCTGTTCTTACTTCATTTAAATATTTTTTGCTTTATTCCTTTACGTTCTTGGTCGAACATATGGCTTCAAACTAGAGCTTTAGAGATTCGGTAGAAGTGATATTCTTTGATTGATTGGACACTAATCAGTAACTAGTGTGATGTGTCTGTTCCTTTGTTTGGTGTAGACTGAATTCTTTCAGTCAGAATTGCAATGTGGTCACCTTTTCAGTTGGCTCACCATCACAGTGCACATTGATTTGATGATGATCGATTTCATTTTCAAAAGTAGCTGTACAATTGCATTTATATACATGAGTGTCTGTGGCACAGCGGTGGAATGGCTGACAACCATGCAGGTGGTTCGAGGTTCGATCTCCTCGGCCACCGACGCACTCCTCCTTTACCTCACTAAGCCATTAATTAATAAGAGCAGTAAAGAGAGAAGGTTGGGCATGAGGTGGCTAGTAAACCCATCCTGTCAAAATAAACACCATGGCTACCGAAACTTCAAGCCTTAGGCTTGCAGTCCTGTACTCCACTGGGAATGTAAAGAAATAAAAAAATACTTAGGTACAATTACTATCTAATTCAACATAATAACGAAGAAGTGGGATATTGAAGGTGCTATTAATTTTCAACCTGATATGAAAGTATGAAGGTGTGAATATGGATAACGAGAAGCTTAGAAACAAAATTACACAGGCGGAGAAAATAGTTGCGTTCTATGTAAAATAGGTTTTTAGCGAATACAGGTGTAAACGACGGGGTGAGCATAGAAACAAGCCTAGATAATAGTGAAGGACAAACGTCTGCATATAACCACTTCATTGAGCGGCAATCTTCGAATGTTTGGCATACAATTTACTCCCATCAAATGTAAGATGATGCTACAGGACTGGACTACATTGACACAGAGGAGGAGTGTAATGGAAGGGTGTCGACCGCTTCACCTATTTGGGAAGTTGCATCAGCCCCATTTGTTGATGTAGGCTTTGGAAACTATTTCATCTTATTTTTTGGTCAAGGTACATGAAAACCGGCGTTTGAAGTGAACATTGAAAGTTATGTCTACAAGGCATACTTGTTGTGTAGTGCCTGATGAAACCCAACCAGTTACCGAGGTTGCAGTACATTGAAGAGTGATTTGAATCCAGGACCTATTGGCGGAATGTCGAGTGTGCAAGCCCCAGTGGGTCACATGTCTTACTGACTTGAATATGTTGTTGTATGCTGTCCTATAGACATAATTATAAAACTTGGGCACTGTGGTAGAGTATAACTCCATTATAGAAAAGATTTTATTTTGATGAATCACACAGTGTTGTGGTACTGCCAATAATTATACATCTCATCCAACAGTTGTACGAGAATGTTGCATGCTAAGTAATCCACAACGGGAAACCCAAGGAATCCTTCTAAACGAAGACGGAAGTAAAGCAAGGCTGGCTAGCTGCCTACTATCTCCAACGATTTTCCTGACTGCGATAGATTGGATAATGCGCCAGACAGCGGCGGGAAGTGAGAAAACAAGCATAAAATGGACCCACACAAAAACTTGGAGTGTCTGGATTTCGCCGATGATATATGACTGATTTCCCCCAAACTGGAAGATGTGAAAGCGAAAAGCAACAAGTTGGCAGAAGAAGCATCCAGAGAAGATGGGACTTCATTCAGGTGAACTTAGAGAAGATAGAGGTAGCTGATGAAGATTCCTGGCCAACAGCAACAACAATAACAACAGACAACAATCAGCCAGCATAAATGGGAGAAATTTGAAAGAATCAACCTCCTTCATCTAACTACCTACCTACCCAACTGGGAAGCATCGTTTCAACTAGGCAGACAGAACTGATGAGAATATCAAAGTGAGGATCGGGAAAGCAACACAAGCTTTCACTTCTGCCAAGTCTGTGTGGAGGTCAACAGCAATCAGCATGAAAATGGAATTAAGATGCAACGTTTCAACTCCAATGTGACGTCAGTGATTCTTACTATAAGGATCAGAGACTTGGCGCAACATCACGAAGGCCACTTTGAACAAACTACAAACCTTCATCAACAGCTAGCTGTCTTCGTTCAATACTACTCAAGATCAGATGGCCAGCCAGAAATGATCAGCAATAAGGAGGGATCTCTGTTAGTGAACGAACCAACCCAGCAGGAAATGACTGTGCAAGAAATACGCAGGAAGAAATGGAGGTGGATTGACCACGCTCTGACATCACACGAAAGGTCATCGTTCGAGTGGAACCTGATTATGAAGCGGCGAGTTGGTTGCCAGTGCGATGGTGGGGTGACCTGGAGGAGGCGATGTGAAGAGTAGATGAAATCACGTGGGCAGGCGTGGAGTCAGGTGAAAACGTTGGCGAAGAACCGGACGCAATGGAGACGTTTGGCTTAAGCCCTATGTCCCTGTAGAAACTAAAGGAAACAATAAATAAGAACACAGTGTTGTACAGTAATATAACTGTATGTCATATTTACGAGACCTCAGGAATATAAGCCATAAACACAGTAATCTTATTGGTTGTTTGATTTCAGAAAATTCAGCCACAAATAAACGAATAAAAACTGTCCAACAAGATTATCACAGCTAACAAAGAAGCTTGTTCGTCTTGACACCTCTCTGTTTTATTAGTTCTCGACGAGAGGAATAACTGGAAGATAAGAATGCAACGAATCACACCCACACACATACACACGCGCGTTTTTAACTCAGTTGTGAATACATAACTAATACATCTGTTTTCAATGCATGGTTTTATTACAAGAACTAGCTACGTGAAATCATTGTAAGTAGTTCATACCATTGGAAGATTTAGCGGCAAGATGACCAGTCGGTTCTTCTTCTCCTTAAAGCTTACTGAATTCTGTCATCAGTCAGTGTTGCAATGTAGTGGTCACTAAGATATCGTGGTGGACTGTTTGAAAATTAATGTTACTGAGTTTGATGGCACAGTTGACAGAATGCCTTGGGAATCTAGTTAAATAGACTGAGTCCCAGTTGGTACTTGGCAACATTCCATCAGTTTACCTATCAGTTCAACTCTCTTTTCATAATTAATTATTGCCCTTATTATTATTATCACTTCTAGGTTCTAGACGATGAAATCCCATTGGAATTAAAAGATCTCTTCAATGCAATATCTCCAACTTTGTCGTCTTCAGCAGCAGATGAATTGGGAGAAATATCCAGTGAATTGAAATGTAGACAAGAACGAGTCCTTCAACTGTTCACTGCAAATCATATCAAAGGTGTAACTGTCAATGCTAGAAATGAAATAATTATTCATAATATCGTCTGCATTAAACCACCATATCATGTGAACTGTTGTCTGGGTAAAAATGTGATGGCACTGAAACGTATAAGAAATTTATTAAGTAAACTAGATGAGGAGGTGACAGTGGGAGAAGAAGAAGCGGAGGAGAATGGCGGAAGAGTAGTAAATGGTGAAGGGGTAGTGGAAAGCAAATAATTGTCATTGATACTGAATTGAAATGCATTTGTATAAATTCCACTTCTTGTGTATTATTTATTGTGTATAGAGTTTGCATTAAATATCTTTGAATTGTTTTATTTCTGATGACTTCCGTGTATGATATCCTTTGTGGTTGTGTTCTTCAGTTTCTCTTCGGTGAACTTGAAGTATTGTCTATCTACAGCATCGGTCTTCTCGATTATGTGTTGAATAAGCCGCGTTTCCATATTATTCACATTGAGATGAAATCTATTTGAATTTCAGTGTGCGCATTTCGAGAAAATCGCATCGCCACGGGATGGCCTTGTATTTATACACTCTGAAGATAATCACCAATGGATTAAATACCTGGATATCTTGCGAGCAATTCTCTTCACCGAGCGCTTGTTGAAGTATAATAGGTTCTCTCCGAATGTCATGGACTCTCATTTCGTCATTCCTAGTCGCCAGTAAGAATTCTAATACTGCTGCATGGTTGGTGTCTTGTGCATTACTGCTTACAATATCATCTATAGGTGTCCTCCTTCGGCTCTTTGTGGGCAAATTTCATGAATTGTGACGATGTTGTTGTAAAAGTGATGTGTGGTCTGAGTCACAGGCTTTGGCGCATCACTATGAGATTAAGATGAAAGACGTAGCAGTTGTGTGTGTGTGTGTAATGATTACTGGAATATTTTCAAACAGATACACACCAGCTTGGCGTAGTACTACTGTGTTTGGAATCTTTTCAGTTATTCGAAAATGTTGAGATTTGAAGTTCTCATCTAAAGAGGTCTGTGGACTGATGTCAATCTCGTGAACACGAAGCTTTACGCTTAGTTAAGAGATCTTGGTCTGGTTAGCTATATGCAGAGAGATTATATGTGAGGGCGTAGTCGTCTAAACAGCCTCTTCAACTAAAAATTGAGTTAAGTGTTTTTAGGGGATCAAAGAATTTTGCGTAATTCAGTTAAGATTCAGACACTTCACTTGCAGGGATCAGTGTGCTTATTTGTACTGCTCGAAAGTCGATGGAGAAACATTGAGGATGATTATTGGATTTCCAGCCGTAAAAGTTTGGATAAAGAGCATAAGTGGATGACTAGTCGTGGTATAATCACAAGCTTATTTTTACCGATGGGATGACGCACATGTTGCTTATCGGTGCGCTGGTGCAACGCTGGTATTCTAGTGTAGATCAATCACAAGTCCTGTGGCTGTTTGATTTCACTTTGCTGACGCTGAAGTTAAATAACTTGAGGAGTCAACCATTCGTATCACTGAACCTCAGGTCTATCAGTATAGACAGCTGCACAACAATCATGAGCACTATTTCTAGTTGAGTTCAACAGTAAAACCAGCTTGAAATTGTTCAAATTACTGCACCTAAAAGATTTGAAAAGTACTTTTAAGATGACTTCTCCGGTAGTTGAGTACACCTGTTTAAAGTGTGAAATGCTCCCAATTGTTTTCTACTACGGATTTCTGAAGTATGAATACGTCACTTTTGCTGAGAGGTTGCATCGTATATCAAATCAGTTATTAGCTTTGTTACTGTAATCTGAGGTATGTCTGTTGGTCGATATGTAAAATCACCAGGTGAACAGAAGATCATCTTAGGTGGTTGGTGAGTATTTGACCTCAATGTGTCCATGGTATGTACAAGTTTGATGGAATTAGCTGTTGGTCAAAAAACATGAGTCATTAAGATGTTGTATTATCGAAGCATTTTTTAACCACTGGCAGATCGAATGAAGATGTCAAAGCCAGTCAGAATCGGAAAGGCGAGAGACACATTCATCAATCTGAAATCGGATTGGTAGTCTTCTGCTCTCACTCAGCGTGAAGAACAAGATTCGGATTTTCAACATCAATGTCAAATCAGTTCTCCTGTATAGGCCAGAAACTTGGTGTATCACGAAAAGCACTTCCGATGGGTTGTAGAATTTTATCGATAACTAACTTTCTGGAGACATACTGAGGAACAAATGGCCAGCCAGCCATAAATAATTCGCAATAAGAAACTCTGGCTGAGAGTAAACCAACCAAGGGGCGATCGCTCAACAGATGTATAGGAGAGAAAGAAGATCGATTGAGCACATGTTGTGAAAGACGCTGAATGACATCGCGTGCCAGGTCATCGCTTGAGTGAAATCCCAATGGAAAGCGACGAGTGAGTTGTCCGAGGGTGACATAGCGGTGATCGTGTAGGGAGGATGATGTGACAAATCATGGGCAATCGTGTGGCTAGCCAGCTGAAGAGGAGAGCAGAAAATAGAACAAAGTGGAGATGTATTGTTGAAGACCTATGCTTCACTCAGAACCCAAGAGAACAATAATAAAATAGTAATGATTATCGAAGTAATTTGAACTAAAATAAATAAAGTGTAAATAGATAAAGAAATAAATAAAGTTTGATATTTCTCTAGATGTTTCTTGAAAACTTGAGATCCATTGGATGCAGTTGAATGAAAATTCAAATGAGAGTCCTTAGTCGAAGTTTCCACAAGTGGAGATTGTCTGTCATCTTAGGTAATGGAATATATTCGACACATCATATCGATATTTGAACTTTGCGCTAAACGTACCGACATTGCAATAGAAAAGTAAGAAGGGATTCACGCCGGAATAGAGCATCTATTACGCACCTGTTGTACCATTTATGCTTAACTATCTTTAGTGGAAGGCAACCATCGTCTCACAGTGAATTAGGTACACATATTATTCCAGTCCTCCAGCTAGGAAGCACCTCAGAACATTTCATCCCTCTGTATTATAATGGCTATACGATTTCTCGTCTAATTAGAGATATGAAGACAAACTGCTTTGTTCTATTTCGCCACACGTAAAGTGGTGATATGTATTGAGGTTGACTATTAGATGGGTGTAAGCAGTCGATAGGAAGCCTTGGACCATCTAGGTTTTGTACTAGTTGGCACACACTAATCAGCTAGGCGTATCTGCAACCTCAAACGAACTCATATGCCTTCCGAGATTCGAACCCGCATCATCCAGTGCTACCTGCAGTCACAGACGTTACCACCGGAGCATTCAGGATCGCGATTGACCTCCCGTAAGATTGTATTGAATATTTTTGATTGGACACTAGTTAGTAACTAGTGAAATGAGTATGCCCAGGCTTATCTTTGGCGCAGACTGAATTCTATCACTTATATTATTCTCTACCCCACCCTTTTGTAATCTCTACTCTCATCAACAATGCTGCTAACTTGACCCACGTCCAATTTCTAGTCAACTATGTTACGTCATCCGATTAACTTACTTATTTTCAACTATATTATTCTCTACCCCCACTCTTATTTAATTTTAACCATCACTCATTAACACTGTTGCCAACCTGACCTACTCTGAATTCTACTCAACTGCATTACGTCATCCAATTCACTTAATTAATTCTTTTTTATTTTCTATCTTAACGTTTGTCTCCAAGCCAAATAATACTTATATTACATAATTATCTAAACTTTATAAATCTAATGTACACACACACAAACAAAATTGCATAAATATGCGATTGTACAGCTCAGTGAATGAATTCGCCGAAAAGAGTCTCTTCGCTGAACGCCTTAATTTCTTTTATATGAATTCTATCAGTTTGCAATGTGGCCGTCATACTAGGTGGCTGTCCATCATGGTGCACAGTCAACTGTTGGCATTATTAGACGTCTGGAATAGTGTCACCATAGATTACAAATGGGAGAAAATAATACAGCCAACTGTTTTGCTAATAACATAGTAAGTCATAGGTTGCGTGGTTAACATTATCTCTGTCACCTTTAACTTAATAGCTAATTATAATTATTTGCTTTATTCCAAAACAGTAGTACTAAAGATACGATGTGGAATTTTCAGAATTTTTGTACAATATTGCATAACTGTTTCTGATAACTTCTAGTCTTCTACTTGATAAGATGCAAGGTGGGCTAGTTGAGAGAGATTAGAGGCCATAGCTGAGGCTTTAGAGATTAATAGAGAAAGACCAGACTTATGTGTACAGAAAAAACTTATACACTCTCTCTGTCTACCCTGGCCCACTATAAGGTCACCAGGGTCATAATTTTCCGTATTATTATTACCATTATTATTATTCTGTGATATCATGTCTTTGTTCTCCATTTCTCCACCCAGTTCATTTCACCTCATTGTTACCCTTAGTTTTGTCAACCTTTGTGATTTTACTCTAAGCCTACCAACTCTGTAACATCTTATTACAATTTAGCCCCTTTATTTTATCATTAGACATTATCGGTCAGCCCTCACATTCAGTGTCCCCTTTGTTAATGTGTGTTTGTATGTATTTTGTGGCTATCGCATTTCTCTCACCCCCCTATGACACTTGTATTCTGTTGAATATAAAACGGCACTATATCACGCAATTGTTCATTCACACTTCATCACATTTTTCTGACTATACACCCTATACACATTTGATTAACCATGTTAACTAATAGACTATCATCTCAACTTACACATGCACCCCAATACAGTTTCTTATATTATTTTCATTTGCCTTTATTGGCTATATGTACTCTATTATTCATGGATTTATAACTGTAGAGCCTGAAGAAGAAGTTATCGAAAACAATTGTTCGCTCAAAATCTTGTTTTGATTTCAGTATGGGGAGTGTGAAGAGTCAGACAATGTGGATTTAGACCATTTCTCATATGAGTTTAGGTGTCTGTCAGCTACAGTACTAACAAGCTGACTTATTGGCACACCACTTACCCCACTGAAAACCTTCACAGTACGCCATACTCCTTTCAGAGTAGCCCAGCAAACACTGAGGTGGAGCAGTAAAGTGCAGTAGGTAAGATGGAAGAGTTAACTAACTGTAAAAGTGGGAATTCAGTGACACCCACCTGACTGTCTTAACTTCCTAATGTAGTAGGTTGGATGGAACATTTTCTTAGAAATCAACAAGATATGGAATGACCAAGAAGGGTAGGAGGATAGAACTACTCCAAGGTATTTTATGTTTGACTGAGTTCTTTTATCAGTGCTATCTACGCTACGTGCATCTTGTGAAAGGCCCAGTTTTTGCTGACCACGTTTATGCCTAAAGGTGAAGTTCATTGATAGACAATTTGTGGGATTTAAGGTAAGACTATTTAACTCCTACCACTGACTGATATCCTAAAGAAGGCTATTCAGTGAGAACAGTCAAATCGTCAGCGTTTACAACGAAGTTTTTTCCTCCCGAAATAAGTATGTCATGTCAGAAGAAATAATAAAGAAAAGATGAGAGAACAGCACTCTGAAGGACCTTGACTTCAGTGAGTAAGGCAGAGGAGGATTTACCTTTGTAAACAGTAGAAAGCTTTCTGTTCAAATGAGAAGCAGAAGTATAATCAAGGAAGTTATATCGGGCATATTTAGTCCTTTCGTCTAAGTAGGAAAGAGTATTTTGTTGTTAGATTTCAACGGCGTCTAAAGCACATCTGCACTGTTTATAAGCAAATTATTTGGGATCATTACATCTCTTCAAGGAAGGTTCCAATACGGTAAAATTAATTTCCTCACTAATTTCAGAAAAGAAGAGGTAATTGCGATAGGTCTAAATTTACCATTCATACCAGAAAATGATTTAGACACTGGGTTAGTTTTATCGTCTTTCCATGCAACGGCTACAACATTATTGGAAGTAGAAGCGTTGAAATTGTTTCTATTGATTTTTTTATTTTTGATTACAGCTTGATGCCACACCGTATTTTCAGTACAAGCATGGAATTTTCAGCATGGATATCGGTAAACCGAATTTTGCAGGCCAACCATAGATATTGGGTGTGTGTCGGGAGAGGATGGAACCCCGGACCATGTGCATGGTCGGCAAGAGTCCTAACCACTGTGCCACCGACTCACATTAAAATGTCAGCACATCTTCTGAGGTCAACAGCAGGTACACCATCACGACGATAGTTTTGGGAAGATTTCAGAGATTCGAGATATTTCCTATTAATGATCACATAGTATCTCAATTACTTTTGATTTCATTGATGACATGTTATGCATTGAACATCAATGTGTTGCTATGCTTAGTGCCAGACGTACTAACCACTTGAAGCCACAGTTTGACACAGTGTGCATCTTTCTTACTTATGCCGAGGGAGATGTTTAAAAGTAATGCAGTTTCATGTGCATCTGTTATCCGGCAGTAGAACGCTCGTCAATCACGCATATGGTCAATGGTTTAATACTCGGCTGACGCACTCCTAGACCTGGCTTAGCCTGTAGAAAAGCAGGTAAAGGGAGAAGGTTAGGCGTGAGACTAGGAACCTCACTACTGCGCGAAAATAAAACTAATGCTACCGGAACTTCAGAGCTCAAGCTTGAATCCCTTATGTTCCACTAGGAACATAAGGATGTTACTGCACGTCGTATCTCTAAAGAGGATTTCAGGTGAATTGTCACCTGTGTAAAACAAAATAAGGTGCACTTGATCAGTATTGGAGAAGCAAAAGCGCTTACAGTTGTTTGTTTACTAATTAAATAGTGGGCCTAAATGTTTGGTAGTTCTATGCATCAAGATAAATCCAGTATCTCACATAATTTTCACATCTTACAATTGAAGTGTTCCAGGAGGAGCAAGGCAACCATATTCAACGAAGATATGAGTATGTGGAGTTCTGAACAACAAGATTGCACAGTTTTTGTCAGATGTTACAAAATGGAGACATTGTACATAGCGTTTGTTTAAAACTACTTCATTGTAAAATATAAATAACTTTGGCGTACAAATGGAAATACGGCTTGTTGTCCGTCACTTCGTCTTCTTGCTTGTTCTAACTGTTCTCTTACTCTGCTAATATGTGTGTTGAATTCTTTGGAATTAGCAGAACTATCTTATCATCGTCGGAAGACTATTCAGTAACTGGTAAAAATCTTCCACGACATGACCTCGGCAGTGAAACAGATCTGTGGATTAAATCATTAATTGGTATCAGTGGAACAGCAGCAACAACAGGAACAATCAGGCAGCATACTTGAGAGACATGTGAGAGAAGCAACCCCCACTCACCTAAATACCTACCTACCTATCTGGAAGCATTCTTTCAACTACAGGCGGATGGAACTGATGAGGATATAAAAGCAGTGAAGATCGGGAAAGTAAGTCAAGCTCTCATTTCTCTCAAGTCTGCGTGGATTTCGACGACACTCAGCATGAAAATAAAATAAGATCCAGATTTTCAATTCCAACGTGAAGTCAGTCACTGCTACTATACGGATCAAAGATTTGGCCGACGCGTCATGAAGGCCACTTCTAACAAACTACACACCTTCATCAACAGCCAGCTGTCTCCGCTCAAGATAAGATGGCCGGCCAGAAGAGATCAGCAACACGGATCTCTGGCAATGAGCAAACCAACCAACCCAGCAGGAAACAACTGTGCAACAAATATTCGGGAAGAAATGGAGGTGAATTGGCCATACTGTGAGAAAACAAACCATCAAGTGAGAAGCATCACACGCCATGCTAACCTGAATGTGAAGCGGCGAGTTGGTCGTCATTGCGAGGGTGGGGTGATATGAAGGAATTGATGTGAAGAGGAGATGGAAGCATGTTGGCAGACGTAGAGCCAGGTGATAACTTAGGAGGAGAACCGAACGTAATGGAGACGAGCAACTGAAGCCCTATGCTCCTGTAGGAATTAAGAGAAACAGTACAAATAATATTATAATCGCCCGACTATAACTAACTTTTCAAGGAACCACTAATTTTTAAATCTCTATGTCTGTATTTCTACATAATGCACTAACTCAATGTGCTGTCATTAACTCCAATTTTAATTCTGATATTTCATACTGTTATCGAGCACATTGATAAGTCTCACAAAAATGTGTCTGAGAATGTTTCACTTTGCATAGTATATTCTCATTGGCTTATTCATATCACCTTCATGAAGAAGAATAACGAGAGCGTATTACAACGCCTACAACTAGATCGCATGCAGACATGTACACGAAAACACAAATAACAAGACGTATATATAAATACACTTTGAAACAATCTTCACACCATACTAGCGTAGACTGAACATCATGTCAATTATCTATTTGTTCAGCTTCATATTACTCACATTTTCTTATTCCACTGTGAATCCACTAGTCCCGAAACCGACTAAATACACGGAGGATGGAAATACCTGCCGCCTGAAAGAAGATTTACCAGTTGAACATGAATATTCATATTGTAGGATGCTTAACGATGCAGTGCAAGAGTTCAGCAAACGTCTTAAGAAGATAACATCACAACACCTGCATAATGAAGGAACTTCCTGCAGTATTGACAAACTGACAATTTCCATCACTGTTGGATGTGATGAACAAGGTGGTGATTTGTGGCCAAGCGAAACTATGAAAGAATCATGTAGGTTCACAACTTTCACACATAACTAAGTCACTAATGAAGACAAAATTACCATATCGGATGCGAAGATCGAAGTGACATCTACTGAAGTCTGGGGAACACTACATGCACTACAGACTGTCTTACAATTGGCGCACAGAAATGCAATGGGGACTGTGAGTCAATGACCTCATGATTATTCATGTATTGTCAACCTATTTCATCTAGTTAGTAATAAACGAAACCACAATCGAAGATTCACCCCAGTTCACTCACAGAGGATTTGTAGTTAACACTGCTGCTCATTTCATCAGTGTTGAAGTGCTGGAGAATTTTCTTGTAAGTCTGCCTTCCATATTGTCTCTCTCTCTCATTTACCTTCACAACCCATCAGGATGCTATGGCCTTCGTTAAAATGAATGTATTTCATTGGCACATCACAGATGATAGTTCATTCCCGTACGAATCGTCCACATATCCTGAACTCTCTCGAATGGTATTTTCTATTGTTGCGTTTCACCTCATCATTATTCGTTCTACATAGGGTGCTTATAATCCTGTAGAGTTAGTCTATGGAAAAGTGATTGTTGAGTATTTACTGAAATATGCTCGTTTACGTGGAATACGTGTGGTGGTGGAATTTGATACTCCGAGTAAGTGAACGTTCCATTCTGTGTTGTGTCATGTCATCTACCATCTTTGAAATTCTATTCTCATATTCAGTGATCCATGTTATTAGCAATCTCTTGATTCTTCACTAATCTCTAAATGAGGCAATCTTTCATTTATTCATTCGAATCAAGGGGTTTAATGCTTTATTATGCAATAATTATTTCATCTCTAAAGATCCTCCAATTTAGACATTTCTCAGTTATGTAATCTGGAATTACATGTGTTGAGTAGAAATGTTTGACTCATCCTCTGGCGTTTGCCAATAATTTTCCGTTAGACAGAGAATTTGGATGTATGTTAAAATCGACTCATTCTCTGTATTTACTGATTTCAGGTCATACAAGTTCATGGGAGAAGGGTCATCCTGGATTACGAACACAGTGTTATACTGAAGGTGTACCAAATGGAAGAACTGGTCCATTTGATCCTACAAATACGACCACAATGGAATTTCTGAAATCGTTTTTCAATGAAACCACTTCAGCATTTCCAGAGAGATTTATTCACTTGGGTGGTGATGATGTATCGTTTGAATGTTGGTGAGTAGTTTTCTCATCGTCTCTTCATGAATGAATGTTGATCATGTTATAAGTTCATGGAACCATTCAGATATTGATGGATTTTTTGAGTATTGATATACGTACTGGCGTGCACTAGTTCAGTGAATGAGCAGGAGATCCATCTTGGAATGATGGCCACATCGCAAACTTGACTGATGGAATTCAGTCTGCACCAAACAAAGGAATAGAAACATCACACTAGTTACTAGTGTTCGATCAAAGCTTATCAGTTTCTTAGAACTTGGTGAATCCATACAGTCTCCTCTAATTGCCGCCTTAATGACGTCCACCGATGCTCGGTAATGATCAAAAACCCCTGGTGGTGTTCAGTCTCAATGTCTTAATAGTACTTAGTCAGGGTTAGTTATATGACATTGCTAGATATAGTCCAATAGACTGGAAGTTCATGTTCATTTTTATGAATTAGTGTAAAATTTGACCTCTTTATTGCCTTAATATGAATTGTGGAATGTGAGCATATTCTCAACCTCCAAAGTTGTCCAGCAGAATACCTTCCAGACAACACACGATACCTGTTAGTGCAGTATTGATTTTCACTTGTATTTTAATCCTTTGTGATGTCCAAAATAGACGACATACACATCTAGGCGTAGCAGCCAGCCAATTTGAATTACATCACTCATATATAGATGACACTTTCATTATATCTGAAAGTGTAGAGAAGATGAAATTTGTTCGTTGTATTTTCACAAGTTATCTCCACTCCATTCACATCACTGTAATTAATCAGTACTTGGAAAGATAAGCAAAATGTAGTTAAGGGAAAAATATAACTCTAGGAGACTTCTTTACAATTGACAACCTATTGACTCATAAATCTGACTATCTTTCGGCCGAGAACATTATGTGATTTATATTTTCTAAGATATTTGAAACTGTTTCCATTTAATCAGGCAATCAAATCCTGGGATTTTGGAATTCATGGGGACGCATGGTTTCGGCGAAGACTTTGGGCAACTCGAATCATATTATTTTGACGAACTTATCAAATCTATTCAATCTGTTCAACAGAAATGGGGCCTTATCACACCAGTTGTTTGGGAGGACGCATTCGATAATGGCTATCGTGTAGGTGGATCATCTTACTTTTTAGAATACTGACAGTTTGTGGTTTTTGATAGATACTTTTGCGTTTCTTTTGATAAACTAGTCTTCCTAGATTATTCATCACCTATATTAAGTAATTAGCAATGCGAATAGTCTAAATTATATTGCGTTTCATTATTATTATTATTATTTCGTTTTATTTATAGAGGAATATTGGGCTTCCGTTTGATTCTCTGCCAACGTTTTCATCTGGCTCAAAGTCTGCTCGCATGCTTTCATCTCCCCTTCACATCAACTCCTCCATGTCACCCCACCCTCACATTAATGGCTCACTCATTGCTCACAATTCGGGTTCCACTAAAGCGATGGCCTGGCGTGTGATGTTACTTAATGGTTTGTTTTCTCACAGGATGGCCAATCCACCTGCATTTCCCCTTATATATATCTCCCACAATCGGTTTCTGGTCGGTTCGCTCACAGAGATCCCTCCCTTTTGCCGATCTGTTTTGACCGGCCATCTGATCTTGAGGACAATTGAGCGAAGACAGCCAGCTGTTGATGAAGGTGTACAGTTTGTTTGTAGTGCCGTTCGTGACGCGCTGTCCAGATCTCTGATCCGTATAAGAGCACTGAATTCACATTGGAGTTGAAAATCTGGATCTTGATTTTCATGCTGTGTAGGGCTGTCTGTCGCATTATCCAGCCTACCAACCTTGATCTGGAAAATCATTGGAGATAGTAGGCAGCCAGCCAGCCAGCCAGCCTCGTCTTACTCCCATCTTCATTTCTTCGAAGGACTCCGTGAGTTCCCCATTGTGGATAACTTGGCACGCAGCATTGTCGTACAACTGTTGGATGAGATGCATAACTGCTGGTTGCGTTTCATAGTCGTTGCTAAAACCTCAAGTAATAGGTTAAAGAAATTAGGTCATTGTTCTCAGAACTTAAAGTTCATTTCCACTGGTCTCTCGTACTGTGATGATCATTCTGAAACATGTATTCACCGTTACTGAAGAAAATCACCGATGCTCTTCTTGTTAGACGACAATCATCTACTTGAATTTCACTGAAGTTCATACTTTTTGGATATGAGGTGAACAATAGAAAATGGTGAAGTGTACTTAGACTAATATTGATCAGGGGAAGGGAAAGCAATTATTGAATAGAAAATTTGTATTGCGTACTTGTTTTCGTGTGTCTGGTGATGCTTGACAGTAGATTAAAATATGAGGATTTCCTTCATTTGAGGCCGGTCCATCGGCCTTTCGGACTAGATTATGCGTCAGGCTGTGTGGTAGGAGCGAGTCAACAGGAATACACTGGACGACCGTTAACAAGACTGTAGAAGGTCTGGGTTTCGTGCGTGGACGATATATGTCTAATGTCACACTAACTCGAAGACCTGCAAGCCAAAACCAACAAACTGGTTGAAGCGACAGCGAAAACAGAACAATAGGTGAGCAGAGTGAAGATGGAGGTGATGAACCTAAACAATCAGCAGCAACAACAACAACCAGCACCAATCACCAACAACGAGAGACATTTATCAAAGGTTGCCTCCTTCACTTATCCAGCCAGGATGCATCATTTCAACTGCAGGCGGGACGGATGAAGATGTCAAATTTGTCCATAATTGGAAAGGCGAGATACGCTTTCATCCATTTGAGACCAGTTTGGAAATCTTGTGCACTCCACAACTTAAAGAACACAACAAGGAAGTGAAGTCAGTCATTTTATACTGGTCAGAAACGTGCGCTACGTGTCACAAAAGGATATCTAGCAGCCTGTCGCAGAATTTTACCAGCAGCTGGCTAGCTCCACACTGAAAATCAAATGGCCAGCCAGAAAGAATAGGCAACAAGAAACTTTGGGAACAGACCAACAGGCAAGAGCTGATTGCTCAAGAAATATGTAGGTGAAAGTGGAAATGCATTGATGGAAAATACACCACTGAGGAGGTCGTCGAATGACATCGCGCGAAATGTAGACCATCGCTCGAGTGGAATCCGAATGAGAAGCAACGAGTGAGTGGTCAGTGCGAGAGTGATATGGACGAGATCGTGTGTTGAGGATGAGGGAATGAGAGATTATGAGAAATTGTGGACCCAGCTGTGTAGAAGACAGCAGAGAATGGAGCAAAGTGGTGATGTGTTGTTGAAGACCTATGTTCCACTCGGAACGCAAGGAAATAATAACAATTTAATATAACAGTTCAAAGTCAGATACTTGGAAAGGGAAAAGAGTAGCGATAAACAGTCTCTTCACACAAAACTTTCTGAAGATTGTCAGATCTGTGCCTATTCGAATACTCTTATTTCTTTATTGTTAACATCTGAAGTATGAGAGCAATGAGAATCACAGAGGCATACGTCCGCTTTGACTGGACAGTGTTGAATAGACTGCCCATTTCGTCTTTATTTTGCACAGAACTGAAGACTTAAGTGGTTCAAAGAGCATAAAAGATCTTTTCCATTTGGACGCGGAATATTTTGACAGCACTTAGTGGCATTCACTCCCGAGTATAACATTTAATATCTCTGCTTTGTAAAAATATCTGTATATAAGTAAGCAATGGAGAGAAGGGTGCAGATCTGCTCCATATAAACACTTCCACAGCTGATGGGTCGCCTCCACTCCATTGTCCTTAATTTAAATTACGTTATCATCATATCTTACAAGATGAAACAATCAAATTCAATTCAAAATTTATTTTCATCCTTATCAATTATCGAAATTTTCTCATTTAGCCGGGTGAGAAAAATACTGCGTTCCAAGTACGGAACGATGCGGAAAGGCAAGAGCGTGTCAAGAACATAACATCAGCCGGCTATCGAGTTATACTTTCATCATGTTTTCGTATCTTGGCCAATAATTATGTGGAGCATTGGTACCCCTACTACGAATGTGATCCGAAAGACTTCTCAGGTAAGATCCTGTCATCCATGTGAATCATGCTTGTATTTTGAGTATCCTCTGTGACTTCTCACTTCATCTTAGTATCACATTACGGCTGGTAATCAAGGTGGACTGCAGCTAAGTTTTACCAGGGAATAATCTCGTTGACTTGGAATTTAGAGATGATATAGTCCTTCTAGGTGAAGACGCTGACAAAATGTAGAGTCTTCTAAACATTTTGAGCTGTAATCTGCGAATGTTTGGCATGAGATTCGCTCCTGCTGTGAAATATAAGATGATGCTACAGGACTGGACTACATTTACTCCTAGCTCAGAAATAGGGAGTGAAGTGGTAGAGCATGTTGACCGCTTCACTTATTTGACAAGTTGCATCAGCAAGCGCCAAATGGGTGATCAGTGATGAAATCTCAGCACGGATACGGAAGGCTAGCTTCTTATATGCCAGTTAACGCCGTCTCTGACGTTGACGTGATAACTGGCTGGCTATCAACAAAAGGGCGTGTGTACTGCTCAGCAGTCCTCCTTTATGTCTTTAAGTATTTTGTTCATTTTTTTGTTTACAGCTTGATTCCACACCGTATTTTTTGGTACAAGTATGGAATTTTCTGCATGGATATCGGTACCTCAAATTTTGCAGGCCGACCATTGATATCGGGTGTGCGTCGCTAGGAGATCGAACCTCAGACCATGTGCATGGTCGGCGAGAGTTCTAACCACTGTGTAACCGACGCACACCTATCCATTAAGAGTGGAAGACATGAAAAGGTTCGCTAGTTATCTTTGATCATAGGTGCCTGCGTTCTATCTCCCATGTTAAGTGGCGTGGTATAATAGGATGAGCAATATTGAGGTTAGGCGTCGAGTGCTAGATAAGGATGGGGAATCAATAGATGGAGCTGTGAAGTCACATCGACTGGGATGGTTAGGAGATGAGTTACGCATGCTTGCCTAGCCATTGTCGTCCTAGATAATGGGCAATGTTAGCTGACATAGGG